AGCCGACACAGCGGCGACGCGCCGCCCTGCGAAGGCCTCGACCTTCTTCGGCAGCAGCTGGTTCTGCTGGTCGCCGTGGCCCAGCTTGCCATGGTATCCATTGCCCCAGCTCCAGACAGCGCCATCGGCGGTGAGGGCGAGGCTGTGGTACTCCGCAGCCGACACGGCGACGACGCGCTGGCCAGCCAAGGCCTCGACCTTCTTTGGCTGAAGCTGCTGCTCCTCGTCGCCGTGGCCCAGCTCGCCATAGGCTCCACCGCCCCAGCTCCAGACGGCGCCGTCGGCGGCGAGGGCGAGGCTGTGGTACTTTCCAGCCGACACGCTCACGGCGCGCTCGCCGCCCAGCGTCGACGCAAGGCGGGTCGGCGTGTTGAGCCACGTCACTTCCTCGCCGTGCCCAAGGAGGCCTGGGACGTAAGCACGGATGTAAGCACGGATGTGCTCCGCAGCGCCGCACGACGAGAGCCGCCCCTCGCCGTCGATGAAGAGGCTGTGCCAATATCCTGCGGCCGCCCTCGCCGGCGGGCTGGCCTCGCACAGCAGCGCCGAATAGCACAGCCACCGCACGGGGCAGCCCTCACCCTCTGGCAGCGCCGGCAGCTCGAAGCCGCGCTCTTGCGCCCACAAGCGGATGCCCTCCAGCGCAAGCGAGGCGTGAAAGAGCAGCGAGACGGCCGCGACGCGAGCGATGTCGGCGGGGTCGCAGTGAGAGAGGGCGCGCTCGAGGAGCTCCGTGGGGAGGTCGAGGAGGCGTGCGGGCGGCGGCGTGTCTGGCGAGGGGGCGGCGGTGGCGGCGGTGGTGAGGCGGCGCGAGCGGCGGCGCGGAGGGGTGGACATCTACGAGAAAAAGACTTCGAAAATAATCCCCGCACAACACGCGCCTTTCCTGATCGTCCTTCCAAAATCCTGCTCGTGCAGGTGGGGACCCTGTCCTCCTCCCCCATCCCTCGTCTGGGGTTGTCTGTTTTCTTTCTTTCTTACGCGCCTGTCCTTCTCCCACCCCTCGTTTGGCGTGCCCGTTTTATTTATTTATTTACACGCGCTCGCCCCTGTCGTCTGTTGTGTTGTTGTGCCCTTGTTTGTTCCTTCGGCACCTTGGCTGGGGTGGGAGAGGCGACAGGGGGGGGGCGCGGCCTTGAGTTATGTGTACGCCAACTCAGGGTGTGTGGCAGCCCGCTGGCTGTGTGGGAAAAGTCCCAGGGATCCAGCGCGCGGCGCGTTGGCCGTTGCCGTTGCACCTGATGCGTTTTGGCTTTTTTTCCGGCTTTTGGCGGTTGGGCTTGGGGCTTGGCGATGGCGTGCGATTTGGCGCTCTTGGGCTTGCGAGTTTTTGTGAACACGCATGTTAAGATGTTACATCGATCAGAACACTAGTTGAGATGCGGAGCCCCAGCAGTCATAGACCCCGTCATGCGTCTCTCGGTCTCCCCATCGCCATGATCCACCGTGTCTCGTCGAGCAGGGCCGGTCAAAACACACCAAGTCCCGCCCGCGCATCTCCCACAGAAACACACACGCCAAACAATGAAACTCAATAATTCCACTCCTCACGCGCCGTACTGGGGCGACTCGACGGCGAAGAGGTTCTCGAAAGTGCCCTCGATGTGCTCTTCCAGCATCGCGGAGAGCCCAGCCGCGGTGATGCTCACCTGTCGGGATGGGCCTTCATGATGATGGTGCGGGGCGGGTGCGCTGCCTCGAGCTGAAGCTGTGGGTGCGATGTTAGAAGCGAGAGCGTGCAGGGGGCGTGTCTAGCGCGCCTCGTGCTCCTCTCCGAGGTGCTCTTCCATCTGCCGCCGCGCCTCGATCGAGAGGTCCATCGCCTGTGAGGCCAACGGAAGCGAAGTTTGAGCCAAGGGGGAGACTTGAGGAGACGTGATCCACACAAGGGCGCGTCGCGCCTGCGCGAAGCGCCCCTGCCCCGCCAGCGTGACCGGAAGCAGCACGCCCATCGTCTCGAGCGCCTCCGGGTGGCAGCAGCCGAGCTTCTCTCTCTGACGGTGCAGAAGCTCTCGCTGCAGCCGCTCCACCTCCACCAGCTCGCCCTGGAGAAAAGAGTGTCTGCCAGATTGTGCAGCGCGGTCAGCTCGTCGGGGTGGTCAATTTTGCCCATTGCTCGTAGCACGCGCCGCTGCGTCTTGACCGCCTCGCTGATGCGGCCATCGCCGACCAAGCCTGAAGCGCGCTCGGAGAGCCGCCGGAGCGTGTGCTCGGCGACCGGGCCCGGGCCGAAGAGCAGGCTCGCCTGGCCGGCCCGCTCGATTCGCGGCGTGGCGCCCTCGGCCTCTTCGCCACCGCCGAGCAGGCAGCGCTCTTCCTCGCCCGCAGGAAGGCGGGCAGGGACACCAGTGATCCCACCGCACCGCCGCCACCGCCTGCATGAGCTCAGCCTCGAACGTACCGAGAGGTCGGAGCTATACCGAGAGTTCGTTGAGCAGGTGCGCACCAACACAGTGCTGAGCCGTGCGTCGGTGCCATGTGTCGACGTGTAGGGGCTCTGCAGGGGCTCCAGGCCCCAAATGATGTGTAAGTGGTAGGTGACAAGAAAGCTTCTCTTGTTTGTAAGGGAGTGTCAAGTTAGTACCTGGTGCCACCTCGGTGCCAACCTCAATCGAAGATCTCTAGCAAATTCCATGATCACCGCTGCCCTCGCGCTCTCCTCGGCCCTCGTCCCGCACGCGGGCCTCCGCCTCGACCTCGCCCCCGCCGCCTCGCGCGCCGACGTGAGCATGAACTTCTTCAAGAACCTGGCCGCCGCCACCGCGCCTGACCGCGGCGTCGGCGCCGAGGGAGGGAAGCAGCTCAAGAAGGTGCGGCCAGAACCTCCCTGCGCCGTCCGAGCCGTAGCCGCGCCCGACGAAGCCACAATCTCACTCTCGCATCAGCACCTTCCGCTCTCGCCGCCACCTCACCACCTCTCATTGCGCCTCCTGCTCGAACGCTCGCACAGGTCTCGCGCACGGTCAACGGCAAGAAGTCGCCGGCGGGTGCGGTGGACTACACTCGCGCCACGCGTGGGTACAATACCGCCGTCATGAACCCCACCGCGATGCAGACGCCCGGCAAGGCCAAGCCCCTCTCCCCCGGCTCCAACTACCCTGCCGGCGGCGCAGCGCTGCACGAGCAGTCATACGGTCAGAGCTGCACCGCCAGCCGCTCCTCTGACCACCGCACAAAACTCGCACCCTCCGCCGCCCTTGCGTCGCCACCCAGTGAGGCCACGAGCACGGGAGTCCCCCCCCCCCCACCCTTCTCAACCTCACCGCAGGCTTTGGCAACTGGATCCCAAAGTTCCAGCTCGCCAAAGGAAAGTCCAAGTACGGCGTGCCGATCTTCCTGCCCAACGGCACGCATCGCCCGCCCGCCCCGCTCCCCTCTCCCCTCTCCGCCCGTCCCCTTCCGCACGCCGCCCGCGTCGCTCTCTCCTTATTTCGCCCGACCGGCGCCGCTAATCCGCCGCTCTCGCGTGTGTTGCAGGCAACATCAACCCGGCGTACCTCAAGGCGGAGCGCGAGGACAAGGTCAAGTACCAGGCGAAGAACATCAACAACCTGCGTAAGCAGCGCGAGAAGATGAAGGCCAAGGGCACCTACTTCCTCGACTCGTACCTCGCCAACAAGGCGCGCGCCACACCCGACGACCGCGCAAGAGCCCCGCGCAGGCGCCCTGCACTCTCGCACCCCGCTCTCTCATTCCGCTTTCCCCGCCCGTGCACCTCCAGATCGGCAACGTGGGCTCCAACAAGGACTACTACAACAGCGGCCGCTAGATCCCGCGCCGCGCCGCGCTCTGCGCCAGAGGACCCTCGCCGGCGGCGGCGCACAGGCTATGCCCCTGTGGGTGTGGCTCACCTGTCGCTCAATAATGTCGCCCGTTGTGTGGGCGCGCTGTCGGATGTTTGTGTGTCCTCTGCGCATGCTCGTATGATCTATCAGAGGCCTCTCGCTGTGACGGTCGTAAAGTTGATTGCGCATGCACGGTGAAAAAGAGCAATACCGATAGGAACTTCCTATACATGTATCGAATATATGCCGCGACAGGAAACTCTACTCAGTTGTCGAGTGTGACCACTCGGAGAGACCACAATCTTCTAGCCTTCAGATACCTTCTCTCAATACATGCGTCGCTACGCCTCACGCCACAGCGGTCCGCTCTAATTCTCGACGGTGCTTCCAACACAGCTATTGCTCAGGGCTGAAAGTCAGCCTCCTCTCGCTCGGGCGGCTGGCCAGCGTCGGGGCGAGCCTCCTTGAGGACGGCGCGGGCATAGTCGAAAGCGGAGGCGCGCGACCGGCGCGGTCCGAGAAGGTTCCGTAGCGGGTCGCCGGACGCGAGCAGTGCCTCCTTTGAGTACCGGAGCGCGCTGCTGCGCGTTCTGGGTCGGCCGAGGAGATTGCGCAGCAGAGTGAGAGCGTGTCCAGGGTTGGCGGCTAGGCAGAGCACGGCGAGGAGGAGGAGGCGTCCCGGCCGCATAGGCGGGCAATATCTTCGTTGGGCGGCAGCGTGTCGGCGGCGCGAGGGAATCGACGATGAGCGAGGGTGGGATTGGGGTGCCGCTGCCGTGAGAGACTGGTGTCACGCTTGGAGAAAGAATTTCGGGGAGAAAAGAACTTCGAATTTCTTTCTTCTGGCGGCTCCCGCGCGGGTTAGCTCTCTCAAGTGCGCTCGCTCGTGGCGACCCCGATTCTCCACCCTGAATCCCTGATGGTTCGGAGAGCGAGAGTGGAGAGAGCGAGAGGAAGGAGGAGTCGCCCTGAGCGGCTGCTGCGCTCCTTCCGACCTTCCCCCGGACGGACCGTCCTTGAGCGCACAGCGCTACGGCTCTAGCCTCCGCAGTAACGACCGGAGGCCGCTCGAGCCTCGAGGCCGCGTGCGCTCTCTGGACTCTGCGGACTGCGCTCGCAACCTCGCATCTCCATATATTCTCCTTACGGTATTGGCTTACGCACTTGCGACGGGGTTTGCCTTTTAGTGCGCGTCGCACAGTGCGCGGTGTGCAATTATAGCAGTGCTAAAAGGCCGTAGCTAGACCGGACGCGCGGAACCATCCACATCATCACCGGCTCGCGGCAGTAAGGGCACTCTTGCATCTGCTCAGAGCATGGCCCGCAAGCACACAGGTGCCCGCACGGAACCGCAGCATGCGACTTGACTCTCGCGAAACACACGATACACGTGGTCTCTCCCCCCATCGTGGACTCGGGGGCAGCCGGCCGCCCCGTGTCGAGGCCGGCGTCCGATAGTGAGACGGCAGCAAGCGGATCGGTGACTGGCAGATGCTGCTCCGCCGCCTCTCCCGCCTCTGACCCGATCAAGCGCTCGATGGCGCCGACCCGCTCCTCGAGGCTGCCCTCGGTCGCCGCGCCGAGGCTCGCCTCCAGCCGCTCGACACGCCGCGGCAAGTCCCCGCCGCCGCCGGTCGACTCGCTGCTCACCGCCTCCTCGCACCGCAACACCCGACGCACCAACGCCTCCTCCGCATCCACCTCTGACCGGCGCAACGCCTCTGCCAGCTCCGCATCCTCGCGCAACGCCGCCCGCTCTGCCGCACCCGCTAGCTCTGCCGCCTCCCGCTCCGCCCTCGCCGACTCCTGCTCAGCAGCCAGCTGCGCCGCCCTCTCCTCCTGTGTGCGAAGCTCTGCCGCAGCCTTCGCCCTCCGCTCCTCCTCGAGCGTGCAGGCAGGCGGCGCCTTCTTGGCCTCCTTCTTCTTCGCCTTGGCCTCCTTCTTGGCCGCCGTTGCCTCCGCCGCCTTTGCGCGCCGCCTCGCCTTCTCCTCCTCCGCCCTCTTGTCCGCAGCCTCCTTCTCGCGCCGCGCCGCCTCTGCCTGAGCGGCCTTGCGCGCCGCCGCCGCCGCCCGCTGCTCCTCTCGCTGCGCCTCCTCCGCCGCAAGCCTCTCCGCCTCCCTCGCCCGCAGCGTCCCCTCTGCTGCCGCTCGCTCAGCGGCCAGCTTCGCCTCCGCCTCTGCCGCAATCGCTCGCCTCTGCTCCTCCAGCGCCGCAGTGTCCGCCGCCCGGCGCGCCTCGTCCGCCGCTCGCTCTGCCTCCCGCCTGCTTGCCGCCTGCTCGCGCTCTCGCGCCGCCGCCGCCTCCTCCCGCTCGCGCTGCTCGCGCCGCTCCTTGGCCTCGAGCGCCTTCTCGGCCGCCTCCGCCGCCTCCCTCAACGCCGCTGCATGTTCTGTGAGAGCGCGCACGCACCCGGCGTGGTCCTTTGCAGGAGCACTGGCGGCGTCGACGATAGCCACCTTGGCCACCCCCTCCTTGGCGATCTGCAGCGCGGACCTGCCGTCTGCAGAGCGAGCCTTTGTTGTATCCGCGCCCGCCCGCAGCAAGCGGAGAACGACGGCGGGGTGGCCGCAATAGGCGGCGTTCGGGTGCCGCCGGACTCGCTGTTCCGCTGGTTGATCTCAGCGCCGCGCCGTATCAGCAAGCCCGCGCGTGGCCATAGCGCGCGGCGAACAGCAGCGCCGTGCGGCCGTCGCTCCTCTGCAGGTTGACCTCAGCGCCGTGCCGCATCAGTAACTCAACCACCCGCTCGTGGCCTTGGCTGGCGGCGCCCATCAGCGCGGTGCCGCCTCGGCTGCCATGCTTGTTGATCTCCGCGCCGTGCTGCAGCAGCAGCTCAGCCACCCACTCGCGGCCTTTAATGGCGGCGGCCATCAGCGCGGTGGCGCCGTCCCTGTTCTGCAGGTTGATCTCAGCGCCGTGCCGTATCAGCAGCTCGACCACCCGCTCGTGGCCTTCCTGGGCGGCGTACATCAGCGCGGTGCCGCCGCCGCTCTCCTGCAGGTTGACCTTCGCCCTACGCAGGAGCAGCTCGACCACCCGCTCCTGGCCGTTGCGGGCGGCGCACATCAGCAGCGTGACGCCTCTCTTGGACGTCGCGTTGACCCGCCGCCATCAAGCCACGCCAGCACCGCTTCCTCCTCGCCACGCTCCGCCGCTTGCACGTCCATGCTCAGTCCACCAGGGTTCCGGCTCCTAGCCGGATAGGGGGTCCTTATGGCCCCTCCCAGATAGGTAGGTAGGTTGGTCTTGTTTCGCCCAAAAGGGCCCTGCAATAGGTAGGTGCCCCCTATTTTCATCTTTTTTCGCTTCGCTGCGCGGCCTGGGGATAGGTAGGTAGGTAGGGCGTTTTGGCGCGAGTCAGTCCCAACAGACCCCCTATCCGGCTAGGAGCCGGAACCCAGGCTCTTTGGGGGAGTAGGGGGTCGTCTGTACGCAAAGACCAGGGCGGTTTGGGGGGTAGGATACACCCGGGCGTGGCTGGCAGGCTGACCCGTGCACGGAAAAGCTGGGTTCGAGTCGTCAAACATTGAGCAGCGGAGGTGTGCCGAGCCCGACGGCGACCGAGGGGGGACCAGGAGGGAGTAAGTCGACTTCGCCCAGCGCTGCAGGAGCACTTGCAGCTCCGCTGCGAGGGATGAAGCTAAAGAGGTTCTTTTTCTCCGCAGCCCCCCCGCGAAGGCGCGCGACGGCGACGGCGCCGTGTGGCGGTGCAACACTCACGGACTCAGCACAGTCTCAACTCTCACCGGTCTGGGTCTCAGGTGGTGCATAGCTCTATCGCGTACGGGGCCTACGGGCGGTTCGGCCCGCAGCCGCACAGTCATCTCGGGATTTACTTTTGGTGCGCGCACTGCGCGGTCCGGTGGCCGGTGCTACCTCAAACCTGCTAATAAAACCGCGAAAACTAAAACAAAGACAGGTGTCAGGTGCGAAAAACATGATCGACTGCAGACGCGTGGAGTCGCGAGGGTTGCGCCCCCTTGCGCCACGCACCATCTTGTGACTTACCTTACCTGCTGGCGCCGCGGCCCCTTCCCGCTCCCGCGCATGAAGGCCTGCTCGTCCTCCGAGAAGCTGCGCGACCAGATGCCGGTGGCGCGGCAGTCCGCCTCCGTGCCGATGGTCCACACCTCGCCGCCCTTGTGCTCGTGGACAGAGAAGCCCCCTGCGCGGTGAGGTGGCGGCGCCGGGTGCGGCGAGGCGTGTGTGTGTGTGTGTGTGTGTGTGTGTGTGTGTGTGTGTGTGTGTGTGCGTGCGTGCGTGTGTGTGTGCATGCGTGTGTGCGTGCGTGTGTGCGTGCGTGCGTGCGTGCGTGCGTTTGCGTGCGTGCGTAGGCTGAGCGAGAAGGGCGATGGTCTCCACACACACGCTGACCTGGCCGCACAGCGCAGCAGAAGACGCACAGGACCGAGCAGCCTCTCTCGGTCCGCACAAAGCCTCGCCCCCCGCGGCTGGCGTACATCACGCCCATGTTCAGGCTGGGCGTCACGTAGATGCCGCGGCCGAACGTGTCGCCGCTCCTCGGCCTCGCCGGGTCTCCGTTGGATCCGAGTCCGCCCACCCTGAGCCCTGTCTGCACGATGCTGCGGATCGCATTCGGCCCGGCGTCCGTGCCGTGATAGGCCACGCGCCAGCCTGCTGCGCCGCCAGCGTCAAGCCATGCGTCGTCCTCAAACCTCCCACGCACGGACAGACCCAGTCGCCGCCAACCTCCATCCACGGCGACGTCCGCAGAGCGATCCAAGTCCGACTCATCAAGCTGCAGCGTGGAGCGGAGGTCCCGCCGCCAGGCAGGCTCAGTCGACCAGGCGGGCTGCTCAAGCGGCGCAGCGTTCTGCGCTGCGAGTGCTATCCGCGTAGCGGAGCGCACCATCAGGTCGAGCGTGCTGGGGCTGGGGCTCGCGTGCATTGAGAGAGAGGGCGCGCGCCGCCAGGCTGAGCTCGATTGAGTGTCAGGCTTCATCCGGAGCGTGGCTTGATGGTGCCGGGTCGCGCCGCTTTCTTTTTTCATAAGTTTGTTTTTTACCACGAGCAACTGAGGCAAGAAGATTCTCAATGGGCCAACTTTGCGAAATTGGCACCATGATCGCACGCGAACTGCGGGTGCTCCTCTTCCTCTGTCGCTTCGCTCTCCTCTGCCTCGTTCTGCGACGACGCCGCTGCCTGCCGATCCCTTGCCCTCGCCTCTCGGCGCAGCTCTGCCCTCCTTGCTGCATATCCTGGCCCCTCGAGTTTATCGAGCTCTCCTCGCGCAAGGACGACTCTTCTGACGCCCACTGCGACCATTTGCCGCCAGCAGCCGCCAAATTCTTTTTTCATAAGTTTGTTTTTGACCACGAGCAACTGAGACAAGAAGATTCTCAATGGGCCAACTTTGCAAAATTGGCACCATTATCGCACGCGAACTGCGGGTGCTCCTCTTCCTCTGTCGCTTCGCTCTCCTCTGCCTCGTCCTGCGACGACGCTGCCGCTGCCTGCCGATCCCTTGCCCTCGCCTCTCGGCGCAGCTCTGCCCTCCTCGCGGCATATCCTGGCCCCTCGAGTTTATCGAGCTCTCCTCGCGCAAGGACGAATTGACACCCACTGCGACCATTTGCCGCAACCGATCGAGCTCCAATTCTTTTTTGCAAAGGCACCGTGTTCGCACGCGAACCGTGGTGCTCCTCACATACCTCAGAGTGCATGGATGCATTTCGGTTCCTCATCGTCGTCTCGCTGCCGACTACGGCACTTTGCCTGCGCCCGTCTCACACGGCACTCCTGCGCACATCTCGCACGGCGACAGTCGCGGCACCGCCGACTGCGCGCCGGGCATCAATTTCGTGTGCCTTCCGCTGGCCGCGCGGGGCTCCGATCGACGACCCAAAGCTCGCCGCGCTAGACTGCGCGATCATCACGTCGTCCCTAATCACCACCGGGGGCAACGGCCTCGAGGAGAGCACCCTGATGATGGCCACCTGGAGCAGCACTGCGTGGCTTCTGGGAGGGGTCATCGCTGGCGGCTTTGCTCGCGGCTCGATCGAGAGCCCTGCGCGCGCGGTGTGGGCGTGTGCCACTTGCTGGCTGGCGGCGGCGTGCATCTACACCCTCGCCACCTACTTCATGGCGCTCTCGGGCGGCACTTGCGCCGGATTCTTTTGCTCCGTCGCGACACCTGGCGCCGAGCGCGCCTTCTTCGCTCTGCCCGACCTGTCGCCGGTGATGGGGACAGTGCTCGCGCTCACAGCGTGGCGGGCGGCCTACTCCTTGCTCATGGGCTCCGCGATCGAGCCCCCGGACCGATGGTGAGGGCCCGGCGTGCTGGTGGTCCCTATGTGTGTCTGTGAGCTGTGAGCCGTGAAGGTCGGCTATGCTGCGGGCAAATGTTGTATCCCGAGCGTCATGGTTGATACTACGTTCCAGTATGGTGATCAGAGCTGTGTCTGACAAACCTATACTGAGAGCCGTCGGCCAAGCGGGGCGCGACGTCAAACTGCCAGCCAACATGTCACTCGGACTCCCCGTCGCCGGCCGCGGGCCGGGCGCTGCGCACAGTGCACACCGTGCAGGAAGGTTTTGCAGGTGCACCTCCACCTGGCTGCAGCGGGAGGGGAAGCGGCTCCGCATAATACGGCTCTGTATATGCTCGGCTTCGAGACGCCACCTCCGCCGCTCTCCTCCGCCGCGCGGCTCTGCATGCTGCGTGACGCCGCGTCCGCGGTTCTGCACAGCTCTCAGCTGCTCTCCGATGACCCTCCCTGTCCCTGAACCGCGCGAGAAATCTCGGCGGGCAATATCCTGCTTGACCGTTGACGACCGCGGCAACGGAGCTACGGGGTGTGGAGGGTGAGTTGACCAGGGGTTGTGCGCTGGGCCCTCCTGCTCGGCTCCAGCGAGTAGACCAGTGTTGTCATCATCAGAGTAGAAGGATCTGACCTCGGGGCCGATGTGACCAAGCGCTGGTAGCGTGGTTTTACCGCACATCTATGATCTCACAGTGTGCCGGCAGCCGCCGAGCAGTGTCGCTCACACAAGCCGCAGCACAAGTGACTGAGGGCCAGTGAGGGCGAGCCCATCGCTGTGACAGCTGTGGCAGCCGCACAGTGGGCTGTGCCAACTGTGCGGAGCGCGTGAGCAGCAGAGGAGCTGCTCTCCAGGCTTCTGTCGCAAAGAGCTGCATGCCACCGAAGGCGCTGTCGAGGTTCGCCGAGCGCGGCGCAGGTTGGAGGAAGCCGCCACCGACGAGCGCGTTGGACTTTTCACTCCGGACAAAGACGGGTACACGCACACGAGCCGCGGTCGTGTACCCGTCTTAGCGGCGAGGCGCGGGACCGTCTGTGGCGAAGTGGGTCGCGTCCTCAGATTTATGTCAACTCAGCATCCACACCCTCTACGTCGCCGACGTGGGCCTCGCGCGCGCGGCAGAGGCGACGGGCGGCAGCAACCTAGGCAGCAACGGACAGTTCTCGCACCTGTCGACGCAGAGTGTCTTTGGGAAGGCAGCCGACGCGGGCTGGTCAGCGGCGCAGGCCGAGGAGCTGGCGCGGCTCGTGGTCGGGTTGGCTCTAGTGCGGAAGAAAGCGGATGCCGCTCGCGGAGGCGCTGCCGCGGCTGGAGGCGCTGGCCGAAGCAGCGGAGGAGGTGGAGGAGACAGCAGCAGCGGATGAGCGCCAGTGAGCAGTGTGACCTCTGCTGGGACGCGCCGCGCTCGGTGCGCTGGGGTCGACAGCAAGTGCCCGATTTGCCGCCAGCCGGCGCAGCCCATCGCCGCGACTGGGCGGCTGGTGGCGGCGCAGACGACGGCGGTCGGTGGGCGAGGGAGGCGCGGTGGGTGGGCGCGGTGGGTGGGCGCGGTGGGTGGGCGAGGTGGGCGCGCGCGCGCACGGGGCGAGGGGCGTGGCGACGATGGCTCATAGCTCGATGGTGTGACACTCGGTGTAATAAAAAAAATGTCCCGCTGCTCTAATCAAACGCGGGCGATCACACGTGTGTGAAGAGTGTCAAGGTTTGGCGAGAACGGTGCCCAAGCTAGATCAGCTAGATCGCCGCATCTCTTCAACCTGTGTGCTCTGACCTGCTCTCGCGTCAACCCGACCCCGCTACCCACACAGGATGTTCCGCTTCCTTCTCCTCGCCTGCCTCCTCGCCGTCGCCGCCGCCTTTGTCGCGCCGTCGGCAGCGGCCGCTCAAAGCCGCTCCGCTGGCATCACCATGGGTGGTGGGCCCAAGGTGCCCGCCGATGAAACCGCCTACCGCGACTCGCAGATTCCACGCTGACCATCGCCACGCCCTTCGTCGGCCTCAGGGACCGCTGTGGGGCTACACGGTTGGCTCGCGCGCCCCGGATGCGGCGGTCGCATCTGGAACCACCAAGTCCGAGCAGGGCGAGTGGGCCAAGAAGTTCAACAAGTTCTTCGGCAAAAAGGAGGCACGCCCAACGCTAGCATGCCCTCACCACGTCCAACAGCCACCAGCCTCTCTCAAACTCCCAGCGTTCTCTGCTCTCCCGCCGGCCCGTAGTGCACCGCCCGCCGCCATCGCACCCCCTCGACGGCTCGCGCGCGCTCCATCCGCTGCCCAGGCGCCGGAGCCGCCCGCCAAGAAGGGCTCCCGCCTGAAGCGCCCCGGCACGATCTGAGCGCGGCGTCCGCGCCGTGCGTGAGTCTCGGGATCGGACCCTCGCTCCGCATGCGCGCGCGCGACCGTCCTCGCCGATCAGCGGCGGGTGAGCCTCGCGACGCGCTTGCCGGCGCCGGCCGCCAGCACAGGCGCACAACCTAGGGCTCGGAGCGGCGGCTCCAAACGTCGGTAGAGATCGGCAGCGACGATCAGTTAGGGAGAGGTGGGTGCGGTCTTAGACAACCCCTCCTGTATGATTGGAGATTGCGCGGTTTTCCCCCGTCTAGACGCGCTGGCTTCAGATGTACGCTCAGCAGGGCGCGGTGGCGGCGCTCTGGCCCCCTCACCAATTTCTCGCTTGCTCATGCGTTGGCGATTCATAAACGACAATGAGAGCAGAGAGCCAGAGCGCAGAGGCAGAGCGCAAGGAGACAAGGTCACCAGACTCAGGAGAGACAGTGACAGGAGAGCGAGAGGTGAGTCAGAAAGAAGGACTCACACACGCTGTGGCAACGCGACAGGAGACTGGAGTGTCGGCCCCACTCCTCTTCCCCCTCCCCCACCTCGTTGCCTCACATCATGTTCGTAAGAGCCAATACAAAGATAAAAGGAGCGAGCACATCGCTGACCGCTCCCTCGCCTTCTCTGACTGTTTCACGAACAGGCCGCTCGCGGCACAGCCGGCGCACAGAGACCACACAGACCTCCAGCTCGCACTGCCCGCAGCGGGATCGTGCCGCCGTTCTAGTAGTCGGCGGGGTCGTCGAAGAGCTTGCCGCCGAGCGAGTCCGCCTGGGCAGCGGGGTGGCGACTGGCGTTGAGGCGGTGGGCGCAGCGGGGTGTTGCAGCGGGCGTGCGACTGGGGCGGCGCGTTGTGGCGAGGGCGAGTAGCTGGGCATGGTGCGACAGCGAGGAAGGGGTTGCCACCTCGCGGAACGACGTCGCGGTGCCCTGCGCCTCTGACTGGATGTACAGCGTCACAAGAAAAACGACCGGGATGAACAGGCCGAGGATGACGGCGAGGAAGGCGCCAAAGGAGACGTCGAGGCCGATGGTGCCGCCGTCCACGGCGACGACTAGGGTGGAGAGAGAAACGGTGAGCGGCGGGTCGAGGCCGGGCGATGCGCCGGAGGTGGGAAGGTGCACCGCCAGCGAGCGTCTCCGAGAAGGAGGCGAGCGTGGAGTCGGCGGACATGGGGTTCACCGTGGGAAGGGCGACGGGCGCCGCGGCAGCGAAGCCGCGCTGGACCGCGAGCGACGGCGAGACGACGAGCGCGGGGCTGGAGGTGAGCAGAGCGAACATGGGGATCTTGAGTCGATCGCGTTCGAAGATTGCCAGGTTGGTGCCCATTAGAGGCGGAAAGAATTTTGACAACGTCGGACACACGATTCCCAGCCCGGAGAATCGGCGAGGGACTGCGAAGGGGGACTCCCCCCCGATCGCGACGGCTCCACCCCATCCGCCTTTGCGTCCGCGAGGAGCGCACGGCCGAGGGGGTGTGCGCGGTTGCTCAAAACCTCTCATGCTCGACGCGCAGTGTCTTGGTGTTTAGCGGCAGTCCAAGCAGCATTCTCCTGCGGCACGGTGTAGGGCGTGGTGCGTGTGGGCTTTTTTAGGTTAGGTAGAAAGGTGAAGAACAGTCAGGCTCGGACTGGACACCAACGCGGTATGGGTGGACGCTGGACAGATGATGACGACACGCACGAGCGACACACAGACACAAACAAGCTCACAAGCCAGCGGGCTGCCACATGGGCGTGGCCGCCCCTCCATGGTGTTCTTTCTAGCTGCTAGAATGAAAATACTTTCGAGTGCCACAAACACTGCGCCGTCCCGCCATCACCTACAGGCTGTCTTGGGCGATGGTTGGGATGTCCAAACGCCACCATCTTGGCTCTTGCGACCTCAAACCCGCGACTCCGTGAGGCCACTCCAACTCGCACATCTCCAGCTGTAGGTTGTAAAAGAGTCTCTCTCGAGGTTCTCGAGGTGGATATCCTTTGGCCGCGTTGGGTAGCGAGGATTGGTGTGACGCGATCCACGCAGGCGTGTTTTCTGGCGGCCGACCGTCAGTGCACGGATTTGCCCCTTCTCCGACTGCCCCGGCTAGTTCCCGAGGTCGTCGGGTGTGACCCCTTCGCCGCCCGAGACCTAGCGCGGTAAAAGAGTCTCGTGCCCAGTGTTGTGCGGGGGAGTTCGACGCAAAATTCTTCTTCCGAGCTGGTGTGCCGATGTTGTGTGCTAGTCTGCGCCAGTCCAGGCCTCTGCGAGAGCCTCTAAAGCGGTGCGGTCGCGGTGTGTCCTCGTACCACTTTCATTCAATCAAAACCTGTAATGCTCGACGCGCAGTGTCTTGGTGTTGAGCGGCTGCGGCTTGGACAGGGGCTGTTTTTTCTTCTTTCTACAGACGGTCGCCGATGCATTCCACCTCCTCGCTCCGGCGCCAGCGGGACCTCCTAGGAGCCTCGCTATGGAGCACGCTCCAGGCCACTGACGACGGGCTCCTCGACGACACGCTTGGCGTCCTCGAGGCGGAGTGTGCTCCGTCCGGCGGCGGCGCGGGTGGCGAGCGGGCGGCGGCAGCGATGCGTCTCTTTGCGGTGCTCGCTGCTCACTCGCTGCACCCGAACCAGCTACGCCGGCTGCTCGCGCTGCACACGGCGACTGGCGAGGGCGCCCTGCTGCACGCCCTGACTCAGGCCATCTCCCGCACAGCCAGTGAGCCGCTCGGCACGCCGCGCCGGTTCTTTGCCTTCAACGGCGTGCACCCGCCGGCTCCGCAGCCGCCGCTGCAGGGCGAGTGCTTTGGCCGCGACGCCTTTGTAATCTGGTTCTGGCTGCGGCTCGACGTGCCGCCCTCGCCGAGGCCTCCTCGCTCTTCGAGCGGCTCGCCCTCGTCCAATCGGCACACCGGGACAGGCGGCGGCGGCGGCGGCGGCGACAGCGGCGACGGCCGTGGGAGTTGGCGGCGCAGCGACGAAGGCGCCGACGGGGCGGCGCCGCAGAGCGTGTGCTCCTTCCTCGCCACCGCCGGCCACGGCGTCGAGGTGTCGCTGCGAGGAGGCTTGCTCACGGTCGTCGCGATGAGCCCTAAGGGCGGGGCGGCGTCGGCGCAGGTGCCTGCGCCTCTGTCGGCCGGCGAGTGGCACTGGGTGGCCGTCGAGCTCAGCCAGCCGGCGCGCCGCTTCTTCTGGCCCTTTGAGAGCGGTGGCGAGCCTCGCTCTCCTCCGCGTGCAAGCGGCGGGAGCAGCGGCGGCGGCGGCGGCGGCGGCGGCGGCGGCGGCGGCGACGGGTCGGGGACGGTGCCTCGGCTGTGCGTGCGCGTGGATGGGGTGGAGGCGCTGCGGCAGCGGTTCGTCTTCCCCGCTCCGACCAAGGACCTCCGCCACTGGAGCGTCGGAGGGCCGCTCCCTCCCGGGGTGACGGCGCACGAGTCGACCTGCGCCCCGCTGTCTGGCGCTCAGATCGCCGAGCTGCTGCTGCTGCCCGCCGCCGCAGCCGGGTCTGCGGCGGTGAGCGGCGCCTCCGCGGCGCTCTCCGCGTCGCGCGCCCGCTCGCTCGAGGAGGGCGCGGCGGCGTGCGGGGTCGTCCCAGCCCTCTCCCTCCGCCCCTGTGGGCTGTTCGTGCTCGGCGGCGCCACGCCCCTCCCAGCCTTTATGAGGGGCGGCGGAGGCGGAGGCGGAGGAGGAGGAGGCGGAGGCGGAGGCGGAGGACGCGGAGGAGGCGGAGGCGGAGGCGGAGGGAAGGGCAAGCCGCCCGTCGCGCTCGTCGGCACGCGGCGCTCTCCTCTCGAGGCCTTCTGCTGCGCTGGCGGTGCTGCGTGCGTCCCTCGCCCCTGCTTCCGCGTGAGGACGGCGTCTCTTCACACCTGCAGCTGTGGACAGGTGCCCGTGCGGCCCTCGCCCTCCTCTCCGCGTGTGCAGTCGGGCACGGCCAGCACGGGCAGCACGGCCAGCACGGGCAGCTCGGCCAGCCTCCTCCTCCTCCTCCTCCTCCTCCGGGGCCAGTGCCTCCGGCGGCGAAAGCGTCGGCGACGGCGGCGGGCGCGCTGCGCCTCTTCCGGCTGTGCGTGTGCGGCAGCGAGTGCGAGGCGAGGCAGGCTAGTGACGAGGGGCTGGTCGGTGTGCCCCTTCCATGACTTGGCCATGACATGTCCGGGACATGTCCTCTCAGGCGCGCGACGAGAGGCTCGTCGGCGTGCTCGCCGCCGCGCTGCGCCACGCGGCGCCCCTCCTGCTGACGGGCGGTGCTCTCGACGAGGTCTGGCGGATGCACGAGCACCTGTCGGCTTCGCGGCCGGGCCGCGGCCGCGCGGCGAGTCCGAGCGAGGAGGGCTCTCTCTCTCCATCGTCCGGCGCCTCGCGCTGCGATGAGCTGCGGCGGGGGCTGCGAGACGAGGTTGCGAAGCTCGTCCTCTCGGACCTCCGCATCTGGGCGCGCGCGCACGTGTCGCTGCAGTGCGAGGCGGCGCGGCGGCTCGCGCGCATCGCGGGCCCCTCGCCCGCCGCGGAGACCGCGCCCCCGTACCCGCCCGCCGCCGCCGCCGCCTCCGCAACAGTGACGGTGCAGCATCTGCTGCTGCTGCTCCGCGCGGTCTTTCCCTACCCGAGCGGCCGGGGGAGGGAGCGGCGTCTGTCCGGTCGCGTCGGCGGCGCTGGAGGCGGCGGCGGCGAGGGCGGCGTGGCCGCCGTCGGCGCGGTCCGACACGAGCTGCTCCGCCTCTGCCGCGCTTTGCCGCCGTCGCGTGGGGAGGAGAGAGAGAGACAGAGGAGAGAGAGAGACAGTCCCCTGATACACAGTCCGCCCCCCGCCCCCACCCCCCGCCCCCACCCCCCGCCCCCACCCCCGCCCCCTTATATCGCCTCAAGCGCCCCAGCGCCCACGCCCCCGGCGCTCCCCTCCCGCGCCTCCAGGTCGACCTCCTACTGACTCAGCTGCAAGAGATCACCGACGCCGACGCGCGCGCGGAGCTCCTCTCCCTCCTCGCCAGCTGGACCCTGCCCCACCCGCTAGAGGCCCCGCACGCAGACGCCGCTAGAGGCCCCGAGCCGCACCCGCCGCCGCTCAGAGCTGACCGGGCCCTCCCCGAGCCTTCTTGGCGTCTACCTGTAGGACCCCGCACGCCCACGCCAACGCCGACGCGACCAACCGCCTCCCGCAGCCTCCTCCTTCCCGCACCTGCCACCGCCGTGGCCGCCGCTTCCGTTGCCGCCACCGCCTCCTCCGCCGCTGCCTCCGCCGCCCCCCCCGCGGCAAGCGGCGCCGGCGCCGTGCGGACGCTCTGTGCGGCGGCGGTGAGTGCGCGGGGCGGGCTCGGGCTGGCGCTGCGGGCGATGCACACCCAGCACGAGGGCCAGCGGGTTGCCGCGGTGTGTGGCTCGCGAGATTCCCCCGAGATGACCCGAGATTCCCCGAGATCACGAGGGCCGCTTCGGCGTGTGGCTCGCGCGGGCTCCTCCCGCGACACAGTCGGCTGCCACGTGCGCGAGCCGCGTGCGAGCCGCGTCCCGTAGGTGTGCCTCGCGGGCGCCCTCCTGCGGGCCAGCGGCCAGGCGGAGGGGGGGGCGGCGGGACGGAGCGAGCCCGACGCGGCGGTCGGCCTCCTCGACGAAGTCTTGCAGCGCCACCCGGCGACGCCGGCCGTGTGGCTCGCCCTGCTCCACCTCGCGTGCGGGCAGTCTGGCGCCGCCGCGCTCGCGGTGCGGCTCGCGCAGTCGCCCCCCCGCGCGGTGGCGGAGGCGAAGGTGCCAACCTCGGACGCGTCGCTGCTCTCCGAGTCCGCGCTGCTCCTGCAGGACGGCGGCCTGCTGCGGGCTCTGCTCCGCCGTTTGCCGCCCGGAAGCGCCCGGGGGCCGCCCCACTTGTCGACGCCCGGGGCGGCTCCTGCCCATCTGGGGACGTGGGGGAGCTGGAAACCCCCATGTGTGTGTGTGGTTTGGGGGGGGAGGGTTGGTGTCTCACCCTGCCCTTGCCCAGCCCTTGCATGCGGAGGAGTCCGCCAGCTCGCCCTTGGGAGAAGTCCGCCAGCTCGCCCGTAGGCTCGCCGAGCCCACTCGGCGCGGCGGCGCTCAGCTCTCTGCGCGCGCTGCTCCGCTGCACCGACCACGGGGGCGCCAACGCCGCCGCGCTGGTGCGGGCGGGCGTCGGCCCAGTCAGGCTCCTCGAGGTGGCCCTCCCGGCGCCGCGCAGACAGGCGGCCCACGACGCGTTGGCTGCTGGCCCGGGGCCGCAGCCGCGCGGCGAGGCGGGCGAGAGGCGGAGGGAGATCGGCGACAAGCTGGCGCGCGGAGGCGGCACGCCTCGCGTCTCCGCCAGAGAGCTCGAGACTGACGTCGTGTGCGACGAGTCGCGTTAGGCGAGGAGGCTCTACGGCGACTCCGGCGCGACGCGAGCGAGTGGGCAGGCTGCGCGGCCTCCCCCCGCGCCGGCGGCGGTGCGCGCGTCCCTCTTGCCGCTGGTCTCGCTCGGAGAGGGCAGGGTGTTGCTGCTGCTGCGCGTCGGCAGCGCGGAGGCGTCGGCGCCGAGCGGCTCCCCGTCCCTCCGCTCCGGCGAGGGCGAGGTTGCGGAGGGCCCTGGCCGTGCGGGATGCGAGGCCTCGCGGGACGGGAGCCCGCTCTCTTCCGGGGCAGGCAGCCGAGCGGGGCTTGGCTGGGATGGGACGGCGGCGGGCTTGCTCCACGTCGCCCTCGGCGCCAGCTGCGCCTTGCGGACGCGCTTGATGGCGGAGGCGCTCTCGGAGCATTGGGTGTCTGAGGAGTTGCCCCTCCCGGCGCTGTGCTCGCGTGTGCTCGCCGCAGTGCCCGCCGGCGAGTGACGCATCTCTGGGGAGAGCGGTCGCCTCGCTCACGTGTCCAACGAATGCAGCGCCCAACTTCCTTAGGCGAGTACCCTCTCTGGAGAGCGGTCGTCTGCTTCCATGCCGCCGCCGCCATCCAGGTTCGCGTCAAGCACCAGCCGGTTGCGGCGCGTCCAGCGAGCGGCGAGGGCGCCGCGGCGGCCTCCTTTCTCGGCGCGGTTGCGACCACGCTGCTGCACATCGACGCGCTCGCCTTGCGGTCTGCCTCCCTCTGGGAGGCGTCCGAGCCGCACCCCGCCTCTTCTCCGCCATCGGGCCGCGAGAAGGAGCTGTTGGCGCTGACTGTGCGGGCCGTGGTCGAGCTGCTCCAGGTCCTGCTCGACCAGCGCCGCGCCGGCGGTGGCGGAGGCGGCGCCCATGCGGCCAACGGCGGCGGCGGCGGCAAGCTCAAGCCGCTTCTGGCCCTGCTGTGTGAGCCGGACCGCCAGTCCTTCTCCCTCGTGCTGCGCTGCTTGCTGGCCGGGATCCGGCACGGCTGGACACCGCCCTGTGCCGTCGGCCAGGCTGTCCGCGCGGCAGCGTGCGAGGCGAGCGCGTCTCGGCTCCTCCTCTGGCTCCTCGCGCCGATCGGGATGGCGCACGCGACGGCCAACGTCACCCTCGCAACCGTCTGGTGCCTGAGGAGCATCGCGCGCGCGGCGGGGGAGGAGTCGTCCCCGGCGTGGCAGCGCTCTGTGGCGGACCGGTGTGCGCGGCTGCTCGCCGCGCTGCTCGCGCGCCGGGGCTCCACCGGCCACTGCTGGCTCGAGCTCCTTCCGATCGAGGCGGCGCACTATCAAGCGCTGCAGCCGCCGGCGGGCGCAAGCGACGTCGAGTTCAAGGTAGCCGTCGCCACGTCGCGCGCGCGGGCGCGGTCCTTCGAGAGGCAGATCAGGAGGCACTCGAGCGGGGAGGACGGCGCCGGCGAGGCAGCGCGACGATGCGAGATGCGTGAAGAGCGCGTGCGCCGCGCTGCCGGCGGGGCGGCTTCCAGCGGCGGGTCGCCCCTCGCCGCCGGCAGCAGCCTCCTCGACTCGACCGAGGTGGAGGCGCTCCTGCAGAGCGACGCCGTCGAGAGCGCCGTGCGGCAGATCCGGACCGAGGCGGCGTCCTCCGTCGCCGGCTCGCTCGAGGCCGGCTCGCAGCCGTTGGACAGGCCCGCGGCGCGGGGCGCTGCTCTTCCCCCGGGAGGGGGCTCGGCCAAGCGCGGCTCTTTCGCGCCGCTGGTGGCGGCGGCGGCGGCGGCCGACACGGCGGATCTCTCGATGGCGAGCCGACTCGCGTCCCTGGGCGGCGAGGCGTCCGAGGAGCCCCTCCGCCTCTTCCACACGTCCACTCCCTAGGAACGCCTTTGCGGCTGTACCGGCTCCTCCTTCCCACTAGGAGCCTGCCCGCAAGCTCGAGGTGTCACTGCTCGGCCTGCAGCGCGACGCGGAGGGCGAGGCGGCCCGAGCGTGGCGGAAGCTGCTCTGCTCGCTCGCCCACGACCCGTGCTTGCGCCTCGCCCCCCTCATCCGCCTGCTCGGCGCCCCAGACAGAGCCGCGCAGGGCGGCGCCCCGCTCGGTCCACCCCGCGGCGGGGCGCCGCTGGCAGCTTCGCCACTGCGGTGGAAGCTCGACCAGTGGGAGGGGCCGCGGGTGCCCAGCGCGGCCGGCGGCGGCGGGAGCGGTCGCATGCGGCTGCGGGTCCGGCGGGACTGGTACCCAAAGGACCACGCGTCTGCGGCGGTGTCGTACGGAGCGGCGGCGGCGAGGGAGAGCGACGGGGGCGAGGCTCCTCTCCTGGCCCTCCCTCGGCCGGGCGGGGGCGAGGAGGGCGAGGAGGGCGAGGAGGGGGAGGAGGGCGAGGAGGGGGGCGAGGGCGAGGACGGGGGCGGCACGGGCGCGGGAGGCGCCGGCTACGGCACCGGCGAAGGCGCGGGGCGCGGCGGCGGGGGCAGCGCGAGGGCGGCGGCTGTGGAGGAGGCGGCGGCGGCGGCGGCGGAGGAGGAGGAGGAGGCGCGTCGGCTGCAGGCCGAGGTGGTCGGCTCGGCCTCCCCTCCCCTCCTCTCCGTGCCTTGCCGGCTGGTGCGGCTCCTCTCTGCGCAGCCGGGCGTGCTGCAGCTGCACCGCGACGCGGTTCGCTTCCTCCCCGACCCGCCCTGCGAGGCCGAGGCGGCGAGCGTGGCGGAGGACCGCAGCAGCTGCGTGGAGGCCTCCTCCGTCGAGGCGGCGCGGCCGCGTTGCTGGCCGCTGAGCTTGCTGGACGACGTGGCGCAGCGGAGGCATCTGCCGCCGGACTGTCGGGCAGCCAGACGCGGTGAGCTCCAAGTGAGAGTGAGGGGCCTGTGACTTGGACGTAGGTACTTGCTGCGGAGGGTCGCCCTCGAGCTCTTCCTCGCCTCGGGCCGCTCCCACTTCCTCACCTTCGAAGCAAAGGAGACGCGCCGCCGCGTGCACGCGCGGCTCCTCTCGCTCTGCCCGCAGCTGCAGCGGCGCGGCGCCACGGCGCGGTGGGAGGGCCGCGACCTGCTCGAGGCTCCGCCCGACCCGCGCAGCTGCTCACGCCGCCTCCCCCCCCCCCCCCCAAAAAAAACCTACGCCCCACTCCCCGCCCCCCGCCCCCCGCCACACCTCCACGCCCCCTGCCACTCCCGCCCCCGCCCCCCACCCGCCCCCCCCAACCCCCCGCCCGCCCCGCCCCGCCCCCTCCCACGCCCGCCTCGCGGCGCGGCGCGCTCCTCCAGGCGCGGCACGCCGAGCTCGTCGACGACTGGCGCTCCTGGCGCATCTCCAACTTCGACTACCTGATGCAGCTCAACACGCTCGCCGGCCGCTCGTACAACGACCTCACGCAGTACCCGGTGGTGCCGTGGGTGCTGCAGGACTACACGTCCGAGACCCTCGACCTGGCCGACCCGGCCGTCTACCGCGACCTCTCCAAGCCGGTCGGCGCGCTCGAGCCCGAGCGCGCCGACAAGTTTGCCGAGCGGTACCGCGGGCTCGCGCAGGAGTACGACCCGCGCGCAGGCGAGGCGGCCGGGCTGCCCCCCTTTCACTACGGGTCGCACTACTCGAGCGCGGGGGCCGTGCTCTACTACCTCCTCCGGCGCGCACGCGCCACGCCACGCCACGCGCCCGTGGAGCGCCGCGCCCACCTCGCCGACTGCCCGACGCAGGCTGGAGCCCTTCACCAGCGAGGCCATCCGGCTGCAGGGCGGCCGCTTCGACGTGGCGGACCGGCACTCCGGCCGAGAGAGAGCCGAGAGAGAGAGAGAGAGAGGGAGAGAGAGGGAGAGAGAGAGAGGGAGGGAGGGAGGGAGAGAGAGAGAGAGAGAGAGAGAGAGAGAGAGAGAGAGAGAGAGAGAGAGAGAGAGAGAGAGAGAGAGAGAGAGGGAGAGAGACAGACGAGAGAGAGAGAGAGCCCGGATGTGGCGCACCCGAGGAAGAGCCGGCGGGCGGGCGTTTCGACCGCCTCGTTGAGAGAGTGGCGGGGAGGGCTGCCGTTGCACGGGGCCGCGCCTCTCCCGAGATGTGGGGAGATGTGGGGAGATGTGGGGAGATGTGGGGAGATGTGGGGAGATGTGGGGAGATGTGGGGAGGTGTGGGGGGAGACATAGGTTCCGGGCTGTTGCACAGGCTCTTCGACTCGATCCCGGAGACGTGGCGCTCGTGCATGAGCAACATGTCGGACGTTAAGGAGCCGAGATCGAGCCGAGATCGAGCCGAGATCGAGCCGAGATCGAGCCGAGATCGAGCCGAGATCGAGCCGAGATCGAGCCGAGATGCAGCCGAGAGAGGAGCAGCATGCCGGACGGCAAGGAGCTCCCGTGCTCTCGGCCACGCCTCGGCCGTCCCTCGCGCAGGAGCTCATCCCCGAGTTCTACACGCTGCCCGACTTCCTGCGCAACGACGCGCAGCTCCCCCTCGGCACGATGCAAGCCGGCAACGCGCTCGGCGACGCGCACCTGCCGCCTTGGGCAGCCAGCGCCGAGGGCGCGTTGCAGCGCCGCGCCGCGCCGCGCCTTCCCCCGAGCGCGGCCCCGCCCACCCCGGGCCGCCGCTCCCGCGCAGGCTTTGTCGAGCTGCACCGCGCGGCGCTCGAGTCGGAGCACGTGTCAGAGCACCTGCACTTGTGGATCGACCTCATCTTCGGCTGCAAGCAGCGCGGCAGGGCGGCCGCCGAGGCGCTCAACGTCTTCTACTACCTCACCTACGAGGGTGAGGAGATGTGGGGAGATGTGGGGAGATGTGGGGAGGTGTGGGGAGGTGTGGGGAGATGTGGGGAGATGTGGGGAGGTGTGGGGAGGTGTGGGGAGGTGTGGGGAGGTGTGGGGAGGTGTGGGGAGGTGTGGGGAGATGTGGGGAGGTGTGGGGAGATGTGGGGAGATGTGGGGAGATGTGGGGAGATGTGGGGAGATGTGGGGAGATATGCCTCACCTCCGAGGGCGGCCGCCTCTGCTCGCCACCCTCGACCCGCCCCCCTCGCCCAAGGAGTGCTTACCTCGTCACGATCGGTCTCAGGCGCCGTCTCGCTTGACACGCTCGGCCCGCAGCAGGCCGCACTCCCTCTCCACGTCTCCCCACATCTCCCCACATCTCCCCATATCTCCCCCCACGTCTCCCGCAGCAGGTCGCACTCTCTCTCCCCCACTCTCTCTCTCCCACTCCCTCTCCCCCCGCACCGCCTTGCCCCCCTCCTCGCTCCACACGCCGAGCGACCGCCGCCGGCCAACACCCCGCCTCCACCTCTGATCGCACCGCCGCCGCTCTCGGCACGTCCACGACACGGCCCATTGACGCGCCCGCTGACACGTCCACGACGCGTCCACAGCGCGAGGCGGTCGAGGCGCAGATTCTCTTCTTCGGACAGACCCCGACGCAGCTCCTCTCCAGGCGGGCCGGGGGGGGGGCGGGCCGGGGGGCGGGGGAGGCCGGGGGGGCGGGGGGGGCGGGGGGGGCGGGGGGGGCCGGGGGGGTGGGCGGGCCCGGGGGGGCCGGAAGGGGGGGGCCGGGCGGGCCCGGGGGGGGGGGGGTTCCGGGGGTGGGGGGGCCCGTTTCGGGTCCAGACCCAACCCCCTCCCTCAAAAGGGGGGGTGAATTCCGGGGTAAGCCCGGAGGGCCCCCCCC